GTTTCAAATATTCTACTTAGTATATAGGGTTTATATATATATATATATATATATATTTTTTTTTTTTTTAAATTTTGGTCAGTTGTGGGCTTGAACTCTGGCCCTGGGGACTGTCCCTCAGCTCTTCAGCTCAAGGCTAGTGCTCTACCACTTACACTTCCGGCTTTTTTTTTTTCTGCTTATGTGGTGCTGAGGAATTGAACCCAGGGCCTCATGCATGCAAGGCAGGCACTCTACCACGGAGCCACCTTCCCAGCCCAAAGAATTTCTTCCAAATGAGTTAAACAGTGAGTTTTCACCGCAAAAGAGAGAAAGATAAGATTAAACAAACATTGTTTGCCTTTGGATTTTCAAAAGAAAAGTAAAACTTTGATCATGCAGTTTATGGTCATGTCCAATTAGCTTAGTCATAAATATATAAAAAAGTTACACATTTTTGTGTGTTATATTCTAGTTGCTGCTTTGAAAATATTAAAAAGTAAATCAAAATTGCTAAGAAGCCAAGTGAAACTCTTATAATTAGGAGGAATTTGTAATAGATTGAACAGGCACAGTATATTAGCTCTAGTTATGAAAACATTTTGTGTGAATGGTATTTTAAATTCTAAATTAAATCAACAAAGACGCTTTGAATTAGGTAAATATATGCAGCAGAGTTAGGAACATGGACAATGAATAAGAGCTATTTTGAGACTAGATAATTGAGATCATTGAGATTCAGTCCAACTGACTTCAAGAGTTCTTCTCTCACTGGTAAAAAAAAAAATACTCTTTTATAAGGTCTTAGTTTAGCAGTTCTAGAAATGTGATTTCAAAACTGTTTCCTGAGTGCATCAGATCCAAGACTAGACCTAGAAACAAGGGCTTTTATTTCCTCCAAAGATGGAGATAACATAAAACCAGATAGAATGTTTCTTTAAAAAAAAAATACTGTCAAGGTGATGTCTGCCCTTCCTTCCTTCCTTCCTTCCTTCCTTCTTTCCTTCCTTCCTTCCTTCCTTCCTTCCTTCCTTCCTTCCTTCCTTCCTTCCTTCCTTCCT